GTGATTTTAAATATTTTTAAAGACAGATTTTGTTATTTAAGAAATACATCTTATTTGTTACACCAGCAACTAAAGTTTTTTGAATCCACTCCCTTGCTGCAATGTGAAAGAAATTTTGGTTGAGCCATGCAAAAGTTTGCACACATCCACAAAAATGATATAATTTATAATCTGGTCAAGAACTCAGCCATATCAGTGGAAAAATTTGCAACAGACCAGCTCAAAATGTCCAGCGAGGTTAAAATGAGACTAAAAAAATTGTCATAAGTCATTACTCATACTTGTCATGGACCAGTCAAAAAATACACACTAGTTATAAAAAAGGAAAAGTTTCTAGAGTTTAGGGGCTATGTCGTGTGATGGTCTGCGACAGGTCGCAGCGATGTGGGCGGGTGGTGGGGGGTGAATGATCCCTACATCCCCACCCCCCGCGCCACCCCAACCTTCCCTTTTTTCGATCCGTTCGACCCAGATCCTACTCCTGTCGAAAGGACTGGAACAAATCACTGGGACATGGAACGAGCAAAACAATCTGATCGGATCATTGCAAAATCGTCAAGGAGTCACACAGCGTGGTCTTTGGACTTTACGGAGACTGTAATAACCACATATCTGTTTCTAAGTAGGTCTTGGTTGTCAGAGTGGTTGAACATTGGTCAAAGTCGACTGCGAAGGATATCTGAAACCTTATATCTCCACGTGAGTTCCTTCTCTACGGGCTTCTTTGACCGGGTAGTTTGACCCAACTGGTTCAACTTTCGACTTAACTTATTGTCTTAAACTGAAGGAGCTCACTTCTGGCTTTCTGGTACCTTGAGATGGAAAAGGTTTCCCTATTTCTCAAGTGAGGAGGTTTTGGAAGTAGTTTGGAGAGGAACATGAGTGGGAAAAACAGGTCGAGATTTTCGAGCTTTTTGTCCAGTGGATGAGTAATGGAAGCCAACAGCGATGGAGATGTTGCAGAACAGATATTTTATGATACAGTGAGAGAATATGTGGTGAGTGTTAAGTTAAGCGTTTTCTTATACTTTGTTAAGATTTGGTCGACAAATGACCGCAGAAGAAGCAACGAAAAGGCAAGCATAATTGTAGCTAATCGAATGAAAACCACTGACAGTAAGCTTATAATGTGAGTAGTTCTAGTGTCAAAACTTGTTTATTACCAAACCTAATTGATGTTGCGCCGTAATGAAGACTGTTTTCGTGTTTTTCCTATCTTTTCGTGGTATGCAGGTATCATAACTGCAGATCACTCGAGGGTGAGAAATATTGCATTATATGAATCTTGATAACCTTATTAATATTGGTAATCAATAATTTAAAAAAAGCTTTAAAAAGTGATTTATTACTCTTATGATCAATTTCTATCTCGGGTTTT